AGCAGCAAGCGGGCTCACAGGCAGCTGCAGATGCAGAGCAGCCTCAAAGGGGGACACAAGAGACTTGGATCTGAAGGTTTGGTGTTCCTGGTTCTCATCTGAGCACGTGGGATCTCTAAGATCTTCACTAGGCACGGTGAAATAAAAGAATAAAGTCAGCATCTCCCACCCTGAACTGCTGCTGCCAGGGCAGGAAAAGCCCTGTGGGATTTTGGGGGGTCAGTGCTGGGGAGGAGGAGAGGACCTGGCTCGATTCTACATCAAAACACACACCCACACACAAAAAAAAAAGAATAAAAGAATGCTTCAATTATCAGCAGAGAAACTCCAGGGGTTTATTTTTAACTTCATGGTGAGTATCAGGGCTGCCATCAGCTCAGCAGCTCTAAATCACAGCTGGGGGAAGAGACACAGCCCTGGGTCCCACTGGCTCTCAGTGCAGAACAAAGCTCTGCTTCACCCCCACACAGACACAACAGCCAAGATTTACTGGGTTTGCACTGCCTTGAGAACTGGATTTACACCAGGAGCTCTCACCCTGCTGCAAAACCAGCCCAACCCTCCTGAACAGCCACGAGCTTCAGGGTTGTGAGGACATCTCTGATGTCTGAGCTGTGCAAACACTGCAGAAAGCCAAAACATGACCCAAAATCATCCCTTCTCTCCCTTTTGCAAAGGAGGCTGTGTGACAGGTTAGGATATTTCTGCCTTCCCAAAAGGTCTTGTGTTGGCCCTGGAAGCAGCACCCCAGCCAAGGGAAGGACACGATGTGCTCATATTTACTGATGGATGCACTGGCAGTGCAGCTGCAGCTTTGATCAGCTCAGGGCTGCAGGAGTGGCTGGTGGTCTCTGTCCGCTCCCTGCCCAGCAGAGAAATCCATGCTATGACTTGACACAGCTTTGACATTTGCCTGTTGTCTGGCATCACATCAAGGATGTGCTTTTTGGCCACTGCTGGGAAAAGCAACCCCAAATATAACCAGACAATCAACTGACCTGCTTTTTAAAAAAATCCTCCAATTCCTGTTGCATGATCTCCTCCTCCCCAGTGGTCAGAAACCTTCTGTTAACTCCCAGACTGAACTGTTTCTTGGCCAGCACAAAGCCCCCTTGTCGCTCTGCCAAAGTTAATCTTTAGCTTAAGTAGAAGGAACAACAAGGAGAAAAATAACATTCCCTTTTCCTCACCAGTGGGGATGCAGAGAAACCCCAGGTCTGCACAAATGGCCCTAACACAAGGATTGTCTTCTCAGCTCACTGCCTCGTTAAAAACAAAACAAAACAAAACAAAAACCATTTAATCTGTAACACATCCCAGTCATAAACCCATCCCTCCTCCAGGCAAGACAGCTCTGTCGGCCCCAAGATGATGGATGGCTCGTGGGCATTGGGAAATCCTGCCTGGAGGTACCAAGGGGTTAACACAGAGTCCCCCAGGAATGACCCTGGAGCCTCCAGGAATATCTCTGGTGTCTGGGATCAGAGCTTTATCACCACCTCAATTCATGCCCTGCCCAACTGTGACTAATGGGGAGGTTGTGGAGGGAAGAGTGGAAAGGGAGCTCTGTCAGATCTCTGCCAAAGTCAGAGCACAGCTGGTTGCCATCAGGGGAAGGGATGGAGCTGGTGGTGCACATGTGCAGCTCCAGGGGTTGGGAATACCTCCCATGGAAGCTGTGCTGCAGACACATCTCCCAGCAGCTCCCCTGAGCCCCCTGACAGCCAAGACACCCCATCAGAACACAGCACAGTTTGCCTGCACAGCAGTTTTGTGCCAGGCAAGTATCAGTGATCAACCGCTCCACCACAGCCACGTGGAAGAGGACAGCGAGGAGGAAGCCTGGGCGTGCCAAGGTAAGAAAACAGCCCTCAAAAACTGGGATTGAACCAGTCCAAAGTGGCTCAGGGAAGGGGCAGAGCACGGGACAGTCACAGTGGCATCCCTGGAGGTAACTCAGACACAAATGCCAAAGTTTTTCCATCCCTGGTTACAACAGAAGGGACTGACTGCCTTGCAAGGTCACAGCCCACATCCCTTTTGGGGAGTTTTTGGGAGACCAAACCAGCAAGAACGAGCCTAAATGCTGGAAAGGAGAGGAGCCAGGGTCGATTCTTCTCCTGCTGTTAAAAGACCCCGAGCACTGCAACTGCCTCTGAGCAGCTCAGGGAAAGGTCCTTCCAGTGCTCAGGCACAGCTCAAGAGCTGGGAATAAAACCAGGCAGCTTTTCCTTGGAAGCCCCCGTGCTCCAGGGCAGCAGATGAAAGCTCCATCCTCATTCCCACAGCCCCAGACTGCCAGGGTGACCCCTGGGAACGATCTGCCACGGGAGCAGGGACACGCTCAGGACAAGCTGCGGTGACACAAGGGCTCTTGTCACCCCAAAACCAGAAAAAA